CAATTGAAATTTCAAGATGTTTCTCTCCACCATCAAAAAACATCCAAAATAGTTGCTGCCACCTAATCCTTTTGCCATCAGTTTTACTAACCTTGGTTAATAGAACTGAAATTATAAGAGAATGTGCAGCTACATGGACTTGTAAAATTCAGAACATGACAAAATTCAATCTAAGCGAAGAATGTTCAGAGATTAGAATCGGGCCAAGATGTTCAAAATCTGCATGTAAACAACCTTTCTTGTGGCTCTAGGGAAAGTTTTAAAGAGCCTTATTCCTTCACTCTCTTCTCAGAAGAGCAGAGAGCAGCAGTTGGTGACGCCAGGGTTTGCATTCATCTGAGCTCATCAGCTGTTTCTAGTTGTGTGTTATTTCCATTCACACACACACACACACACACACACACACACACAGCCTATCTATGCCTTGGTCAGTACACATAACCCTTCAGCCCTAGATTGAGTTTATAGTGTCAACAACGTTAAGTCAGAGCCTAAGGGCCATTTTCATTCTCAGGCAGAACTGCTTGTAGCCCTACTCAGCTTTTGTCTTCAAAACTCAATGGGCAGATACTATTTATAAAGGCCTAGAGTTTCATTCAACTGTAAAGCCATAACATGGGGGCTTTCAAAATGAAATATTCCATTCTATTTTGACTTTTTTGACATTCCCTATTTTTTCTATGTAGAATTTTAATTCCTACATACATCAAAGGCCATATGCTTTCTAACTCCAGAGCACATTTAAAATTCCTTAATTTATATTCTTTAGAACATACATTCATTATCTTCCTCCCTCCCTCCCTCCCATCCTCTCTCCCTCCCTTTCTTCTTCCCTCCTACCTCTCTCCTTCTTTCCCTCCTTCTCTGTCTCCCTCCATCCCTCCCCCTCTCTAATTTCTAAAATGAGGATCACAATGTCTGGTCTCTAATCTAACACCACTGTATTTCCTACATAATTTTAGACAAATCAATTAATTATTTTCAGTAGCTGTAAGATGAAACTAAGTTCTCTACCTTGCCAAATTTATAAGCTTTTATGTAAGTATGAAATGAGGAGGCAAAGTCATTCATTTGGTATTTATTCAGCCTTTAATATCTGTCAGGAGCTGTTTATCAGATTCTGAGATATATTTATGAAGAGGACAAATAAGGTCCCTACCCTTGTGCATTGGGATTGGGAACACAGTTAGTAGGTGAAGAAGCAAAATCAGGGTTACACCTTGTGGTAGGTGCTTTGAGGAAAGTGATGGAGAATGACAGCAACGGTGATACTTAGGGCTGTCAGGAAAAGCCTCTGAGGAAGTGACTTTGAGAAAGTGACACTCGAGGTCATAATATATGAGAGGAAGCTTGCCGTGTACTGACCCATGAAAGTGCGTTATCAGCTGTAGGATGTTACCTCCATGAGTAGTAACCCCCACTGGTCCCCTTGCAGTAGGGAAGTTAGAAGACAACAACAGATTTTAGATTGTCCTATTTCTGGAGCTATAACTGTACAGTGATCTCTGTATTTTCTTTTTTTTTAAATATATTTTATTGTTTTTTTACAGAGAGGAAAGGAGAGAGATAGAGTCAGAAACATCGATGAGAGAGAAACATCAACCAGCTGCCTCCTGCACACTCCCCACTGGGGATGTGCCCGCAACCAAAGTACATGCCCTTGACCGGAATCGAACCTGGGACCTTTCAGTCCGCAGGCCGACGCTCTATCCACTGAGCCAAACCGGTTTCGGCTCTGTACTTTCTTATGAACCTCCATTTTTTCATCCAAATCATTCATATCTTCCTCCTCTTCTGTTTCTGGTTTGTGCTAGCTTAACCTTGGGACTTGTCACTGTTCCCTGTCTGTGACACTTCCTAGCTCAGGCTACTCTCAGTCCTCCCTATCACCATTCCTATACTTCCTTCTGCTCTAAAACTCCCTGCAACTGAGTTCTCTTTCTAATGACCCTGTAATTCTAAAACCTTCTTGAAGGTTTCCAAGGTGCCTCACTTATGGCAAAACTACCTATCCTTCATAATATAAGCAACTGGCTGGCACAGTGCCTAGCACATAGTAAGTTCTAAATAAATATTTATTGAATAATGAGTGAATGACTGATTCTCTTCATCTTACTCAGTCTACCTATAGGATTAAAGGGTTTTTTTCTTAATTACATGTATATTCTTTTCTCACATGTAAAATGCATGAAAAACCTTTATCTTCAGCTATATAGAATAACAAAATCTTACTCCTCATTCACAAGGTATTTTAACTTTAAATCTACTCTATTTGCTGTGCAGGTGGAATTTTGTCATTGATCCTAGAGATACTGACAGTGTCCCTAAGACTTTTTTTTTAATATATTTTATTGATTTTTTACAGAGAGGAAGGGAGAGAGAGAGAGTTAGAAACATCGATGAGAGAGAAACATCGATCAGTTGCCTCCTGCACAACTCCCACTGGGGATGTGCCCGCAACCCAGGTACATGCCCTTGATCGGAATCGAACCTGGGACCTTTCAGTCCGCAGGCTGACGCTCTATCCACTGAGCCAAACCGGTTTCGGCCCTAAGACTTTTTTATAGTGTCCAGCACACAGTGTATGGCACAGCACACAGCATTTAGTGTGATAACAATCCATAAGATTTCAGTTGTTTGGGCTTTTATTTTTAGCATTCTGAATAATCAGATATATCCATTTAGATTAAGCAGAAGTTTTCTATGGAAAAATCTTTGTATTGAGGAAGTTGTCATAGTTTCAGTTAAGCAGCAACTAAAAACAGTGTTTCTTTTAAAGCAATTTTTTAACTATGTTCAGAGTTTTGTTTTCACATTATATAGTATTATTGTTCATTAATGGCAATAATAATTTAGTCTCAAAAGCTTTGAGATTTATCAAAAACAAATGGAATATTCACTTTTCATAGGTATAGAGGTATGTTTAGAATAGGGTTGGGGAACCTATTTTCTGACAAGGCCCATTTGGATATTTATAACATCCTTCTCAGGCCATACAGAATGATCAGCTTAAAAATGAGCCTGCTGTATTTGGTCAAACATTTAATTAACTCACCCCGAATGCCTGGGCAGGGCCAGACCAAAGGATTTTGCAGACCTTATGACGCCTGTGGGTTGGATGTTCCCCACCCCTGGCTTTAGAATCATCACTGCCAACTTTTTTCCAGGATTGCATCTTAAGCGTTAAAGTATTTATTTCAATGAAATAAAAATCTTATATTACATCAATTAGATATAACTTATAAACGATCCCTTAGTTTTAGGCATTCTCTGTTTATAGCTCTAAAATTTTTAAATAATACCAAAAATATAGTCTCATTGATTTTTGTTGTTGCTTGTATTGTATACTTTAATTCAAGAAATTTTATGTAACTTTCACTCTGAATGTTTTATTTTGATTAATATAAGGTTCTGAGACAAGTGATCAGGACTGACTTTAGAACAACAGTTCAGTGTTTATGGCTTTATGCTTGTTGCCCTGTGGGATGTACCTATAAAGTAATGAATGGGACAGTCTTCCTAACAAACATACTAGGAGCCAAGTATCAGAGAGGCCCTTGTCCCCTTCAAATCAGTCACCTCGAAGGCTACACTGTTCCAGTAACACTGCTATAACATAATAGTGTTAAGAAATAATAAAGACTATGCTAAGAAATAATGAAGACTAAAATGACATTATTCTGAATAGATCGTAGATTGTGACAGATGAATTTGATCTCAGTGAGTAGTCAGAAATCATCCCAGCACCAACTGCAGTGAATGAAATTTGGAGGCCTGTTTGGAGTTACAACTGAATGTAAAAATAATAAGATGGACTTTCTTGAATAATACATAAACTAACTCTTGAAAGTGTCAAAGAGAAATTCCAGAACTTTGGACCTTGGAATAAATGTATAAACTCCCAAGGTAGCTACTATAAGAACAGTACATGTTTAGGTTAAAAAAATGTGTATGTTTGCAAAATAAGATCAGTTTTATTACTTTATAGACATACCTTGTAGATGAAAAAAATACTTCTATCATGGAACTCTTTATAAGCAAACTTCCGAATGTAAGTAGATTTTCTGTCTCACCCTATCTGAGTCTGTTGAGAAATCTGAATTTCTAATAATGACTTACTCTGAATCTTCAGCTTTAAAAAAAATATAATGTTTTCCATTTAAAAAATGGATGAATTTAGGTTTTACGTTACCATTTTCTGATTAGCTTTGTTTAGTTTGCTCTTCAATTTTTTATTTAGTATATTATGTTCATCTTTGTCCACCCTGAGACTCTCAGAATGTATTTTCCCATTGTAAAATTATCATCAAACTCGTGAATGGAGATAGAAAATAAAGCCTAAGCTGAAGGTTAGACCTTGTTCCATATTATTTTAAACTCTGTGTGGTTGGCATTTGGAACAGTCAGATGCCTTTCTTTGTTAAAAGTGGAACCCTATTATCTTACTAAATAAGAACCGCAACTTACGAAAAGAAAAGCCTTTCTATAAAAGTAAATACTCTCAACTTTGGAGCTCCTATTATGTTTTTCATTTCAACTAATAAAAGCTTGAAAAACAGAATTCAACCAAGCAGCTGGGCCATGTTTTTCTCATGTCAACTCCAGGTGGACTCGTGGACGTGGACTGGGCGTGGACCTGGAGGGTGCGCTGCTTCATCGGGGCTTTTCCACATTGATTCCACCACGTCCACACTCATCCAGGCTGTCAGGCCCCTATTTCCTGCTGCTGCGTTGAAATAATAAAAGTAAAATGGAGTGTGGAAGGCAGAGAAAATTGGTAGCCTTTTGCAGGGAGACTAAGACAGCTAAATTGTGACACAATTTAAACTGTTCAAATTCGACAAGTTTGATTGAAAAATTGCATGACCTGTGTAGTTAGAGAGCAAAACGGTCACTAGTTTATAGTTTTAAAAAGTCACAGTGTGCTGTTTTTACCGCAGACTGAGAATATTCTTTTATTCGGCCTGGTAGTAATTGTTGCACAAATGCCTGTTTTGCAGTTTGGCGATTTAAATGCTGTGTCTCCTGGAAATCTGGATAAAGGTAAGAATTTAAAATAATGTACATTTTTAAAGACTTTATTTGACTGGGAAATTCTCACAGAGGAAAATGTAGCGTATTTGTCTGGCACTCTAACTCTGTGGAAACAGCATACAGTCCTAGGTGAGTATGGCTGTGATGTCTTCGGAATTCTTCATTATTTCTCCATTTTTGTGCTTTCTTTATGGGAGGTGCCTTAAGTACAAGAAATAAATTTAAACAGAGTTACAAGCTCATTTTGGCTTTTTGCCTGAAGTTCGTTATAAGTTCATTATTTCTGACCATCTACAGAGTCCTAGAGAAAAGGCATAAAAGTTGCTCTAAATATCTGTATTCAAGGCCTATCAGGCAAGGGAAAAGATTCCTCAGCCTACCTATCGCCAGGTAGGAACTCAGAAAGAGCCGTGATGTTTACTGGAGAAGCAAGATCAATTGTGGTGTAGATGGAAAGGATAACACACATTCTCTTTAAATTATAATACCAGCATCACTACTCTAATATGACAATAGGACATATAGTCCTGAAGAAACTCTTGCTCTACAAAACCACAGAGTGAAAGGACTATGGATTAGGGGTGGGGGGTGGGGAAAAGGTTGGAATAGAGCACACAACAGCAGAAGAAATCCTTTAGAAAACCAGCCCAGTTTTTATAAAAATATAAAATTTCTAACAAATAAGCACAGTAGAAAATGTAGACCTTTCTTCAAAAAAACCCAGAAGTGAAGATAGCTTGAGGTTTTAAAGAATTGACTTCTGGAGTCAGGGACAAAATGCACAAAGACAGGTGAGAATAACACAACTAGCCCTTCCAAGCACAGCCAGAACCAGTGGGGAAACCAAGGCAAGAGGCAGGACTTGGGGAATCTGCACATGAGTGCAGTGCTGTTTTCTGGAGCAGCCGGTCCTTGGGTACTCATTGTCCAGCTTCTGACCCTCCTTGGCAGTGGAAAACATTAGTGTGCCAGGGAAGGTCACCTTTGAATCCATGTCACTCCCATGTTGAACTCCTGTCAGGCAATTGTGGGCACATTAATTCCTGTTAGAGGAACATACATAGTAGCAAAGCAGAAGTAGAAAATGATAGCCCCAAAATATTGTTGCTCTACCTATATACTCTATAGGATTAACCAAATAACCCTCAGAAAGATAAATGAATTATGAGATGATACTCATTTGTAATTGAAGAGCCAGAATGGTGCCAGTTGAAGCCCATGCCCAGCATACAGCCATCCTGATAGCACACTGACACCGAAGCCGTGTAACAAAAAATTTGAGGTTTCATCCCTGCGTGCCCACAGGTGCAGTAGGAGTATGGCTACTTGGCTAAACACTGAATGGCAGCCATTCTTCTTTGTAAAGTGCTAAACCAAGTCTTCAGTCCACTCCAGTAGCACCTGATGTTAATTTTTCTGTACCAAATGTCCATAATCGATAGTAGGTTTCTAGAAGATGTCTTGGAATCTATTGATGCATAAAATGTCTGTGGACTTGCACTTAGGGACTGGAGAAAAGGCTTGCTTTGTAGCCTATCCAAATGATCCCTGTCACCCCTAGTGACCTGCACAAAAGTGGCCTGGAGCACTGGAGTTTGTCCTGTCCACCACCTACAGTCCTGTCCATTTCTGCCCAAAACGGGTAGAGAAAAGGGCTTTGCTCATTCCCTCTTCACCTGCCTACCTGCTGGAAGTTTTTATTTTCCTTTCAGTGCTGGGGTTTGTTTATTTTTTTGCTATTATAATTTTGACACTATTTCTCAGGAAAGAAGGTAGAGAGGTATCTGAGAAGCAATGCAACTTTACCTCACATTCTCGGAATGGCTCTGCTGGTCCCCTTCACCCTCAGACATGATGCTTCTTGAGATATAGCTGAACTGTGGCATAACCAGAGCCTAAGGTTTGAATGTGAAAACTTCAGGACTTTTTGTTGGCTCTTTCCACAAAATGAGATATTTAATGTTTTTCCTGATAATGAAAGTAGTATTAGCTTTGTATAAAAATTTCAAGTAATACAAAGAATTAGAAACTATTGAGAGTGAAATTTCAAAGTCACAACCCTAAGAGACTACTGCCATTAAGAATTTTGTGAGTTTCCTTCTTCTTTTGTTTATATATAAACAACTGCATCAACAAAATGTGAAGTATCATACACGTGTTTTGATTATACCCTCTTGATAAAGCAGATGTCTACCAAATTTATCCTCCACGCAGCCAACCAGCCCTTCACATGTGCTTGTTCTAACATCTGTTATCATCAAGTCCATTTTCCAAAGCAAAAAGGTAACCGTATAAAATAGATGGGCCAAGAGGCCTCTTGCCACACAAGTTCTTCTGTGTTTACGGTTTAAGGATGCATTATAGACGTCATTCCTGTCAGTACATCCAAACTCAGCCTTTTTCATTACATACACCGCTTCTCAGGAGATGCTGCTCCTGGCAGCTGTGCACTGCACCACGACACGTGGAGGTCCTGCGACTCCCACTCAGTTCTCTCTGGAACCATCTTTGCCCCATTGATAACAAGAGAGGAACATTCAGGGCCGATTTATGTTGAGAGCTGCATTCGCAGGGATTGATGTGGTAGGTGTACCCCAAGTGGTAATACTAGACTCAATCTTAGAAAGAGTTCAACTTAATCTGACCAAAGAGCTACTTGTACATGACAGAAGAGAATAACATGAAGATTTGGCTCAGTTTCTACAAGTCACTAGAAGTCAAAAATATAACAGGTGTAGGTATATTTTAATTATCGATGAGATATTTTATGTGATTATGCTTTCATTTTCTTTGGTAAACAGTAAAAGATGTCGAAGGTGAACTAAAAAGATTTTTAAGGCAAAAATTATATTCCCCGCTGTTTAAAAGTGGTCACTCCTAAAGAGGCATTCTCTATACTCCTCGGAAGGGAATCTCTCACAGCAATAAAGCTGTGTGAGCATTTTCTCTCTCTACTTTTGAATTTTAACTGTGCTGCTGGAAAACATTAAATGGTATTCCATTCTAATGATATTTTAGTTCATATAAAGTATATTAAAATTTGGAGAGACCAGTGACTAATACATTTAATTTCCAGAAATGAATACTAGTATTAACAGTGAATATCAGTGTTGCCAGGAATGGAAATCCATTGTGCATTGTTAATTTGATACTACTGCCTTAGTCTTTATAATTTTTGGCAATAAGAATTAAGAGCCTATTTAATATTGTCATCTATACTATTTGTGCTCACCATAAGTCTTTACAGCAACCCATGCTTGTACGTGATATATGTCATCACCAATCTCACCTACACTAATATCAACACGTAAAATTTACATCTAAGTATAGATTTTTGGAGGAGACTGAAGTTTTTCTCCCTCACTTCTTCTTTTTTTAGTTAGCATTTTTCACCTCAATACATTCCCCAAATGCCAACAGTGTATTAAAGTGACTACTTCATGAAGACACAACTTATGCCAAACTATTTAATACAAAGACGTTAGGAAATTCCAAAGGTCTTTTTAAGTTTTGGAGTTATTAAAAGTATTAATCACAAACTAACCCCAAATAAATTACCTTTATCATGTTTGAAAGAATTATGGATGCATTAACTGATTTTTGATGCAAGTGAAATCCACGGAGAGGAAAACCTATAAGCTTTGTCCCCTGAGAAGAGCTGAGAAGTTGCTTTCCTAATGCTCCATATTAACGTGTTTCGAAGCACAAGTTGATTGCCATTTTCCAGTATGTCTTTTGGTAATAGTCGTGGCATTATTTGTTTGTGCAGATGAAGGCAGTGAAGTGGAAAGTGAAATGGATGAAGAACTAGATGACTCTTCAGAACCTCAAGCCAAGCGAGAGAAAACGGAGCTGACCCCGGCGTTCCCGGTGGGTTGTCTGCAGCCTGTTCTCGAGAGCAGCGTGCAGCCCAGCCTCCTGAATCCCATCCACAGCGAGCACATCGTCACCAGTACTCAGACTATCAGACAGTGCAGCGCGACAGGCAATACTTACACTGCGGTCTAAAGAATATTAAAGCGTATTTTTCCAGCTAACATTAACCCTGTTGATATTGGGCTTAAGTTGAGAAATTAATAAGCCTGAAGGTCGACTGTTGTCAAATTCTCTCTGTGCTGAACATTACCTTTTTGGAGTTGTGAAATGGAATGGGTGTATGTATTTTGCCAGGTCTCTCTTTTTTTTTAAACGTAAACAAATTATTTGCCTCTTAATGATAAGAGGGTTTTTTCCTTAGTTTTGGGTGTCAAGAAGGATTTTTACAACACTTAATATTGTTTTTCTTATAATTAAAAGTAATTTACATTTTTGTAGCTGAAAATATTTTATTGTTGATTGTTAGTCTTGGTGTATGATTTCATGTGTGAGTTTTTAATTAGATGCACTTCTGTGAAATATCAAAAGAAATGCATTTTTTATTTACACTGGAGGCATGCCCATTTGGCAGCAGATGCATCAAATTTGCTTTTGAAAGGTGCTTTTCATTGGGCCGAACCACAAGACACTATTTTGATAGCATTTTGGAGTATGGAGAAAGAATACAGAGCATTTTAATGATAGTGCTAGAGGGTTGGGCAGGTCATCTATATTTCTCTGAAGAAAAATTGAGCTGTGCATTTATCAGTTCAGAGTAAATGACAGAATTGCCAGAGATTATGCTAATATGTACATAATTTGTGTACATAATGATTAAATCATGTTAATGCAAGCTTCCGTTAAACATTGAATTTTAACTGTTATTTGCATACCAATTCCTCTGTTTAATGACTACTGATTCTGTATTTGGGACCACTGCACAGATGCGTTCTGCTGTTGAGTGGGGCTGTTATAGTTAGAGACTGAAGCTGAAAATGACTTGACTTTTTTTTTTTAAGTGTACATGCTACTTATGCTGAGCTGGACATACAGGAAACCATTCCATTTGGATGATTTTCTTTTATTCCAGGTCTTTTTCCTAATAGTAGTTCAATATGCTGCTATTATAAGAGAAAATTTATAGAATGCAAGGAATGTAGCAACCTGCATATCGTTCTTTCGTTCAAAAATATTTCCTGGTTTCTAAAGTATGTGGATTTAAATTTTAAACAGAACCTGAAGGCAGTGTAACTGGCACACCATACTGTTGCTTATCTCCGATTCTGTAGGATTTGGATAGGTGGCTTGATGGACCAGTGCCGCTGAAGAATGTACATCAGGGATCATCGTACCTCGGCTAAAACATGGTGCCTTAAAACAGAACTGAAGCTAAGGTTTAGTAAGGCTTATTTTGTTCCTGTAAATTCCTCTTCAGTCCATTTGACAAGCTGTGCCTGTCATTGTCAGAATCCCGAAGTAAGGACAGGTTACATGTTCTTCAAAGGAAATTTAGGGCAAACAAAGCAAAAAAAAAAAAGACAAAAAAATCAGTTTCCCTCTTTGAGTGACCACGAACCTATTTTTTGTTCTTAGAGCTGAATAATACTTGATTATAAGTTAGATTGCTTAAGGGTATGGAGTAGCAGGCTAGTTTTAATCACCAACTTGTTACATAAAACATATATATGTTAGACCATTCTTATCTACTTATAATTTAAGAAAGTTAAAATAAGTAGGTACTTATCGAAGTGCATCTTTTCAGTCTCCGTGTTTGTCTGTGTGTCTTGGTGTCTGTGTCCACATGCACACACGAGTGCCCATGGGCGGAGTCAGCTACCACAGCAGAAGGTGAGATCCAGGAGTGGATACACCATCCCCATGTTCATTTACATGAAGAGCCAACATTCTTTTAAGCACTCAAATTATTAACAACAACAAAAAACAGGCACATCTATTCATTTAATTCGTTCTTAAAAAGCTAATAAGCAAAAATAAGTACATAAAGCCAAAAAAAGGGAAAGCACAAAATTATTTACAGACTATTAATGAGACCTATATGAAATTCAAGATGTTTATCTTTCCAGTTTTATTGGGGTGAGGGTGGGGGGTGTAAAGAAGAGGGTGAGCCAATCTGTAAAGTTAAAACTACCAAATGGCTTATTGGGTAATACGCAGTCTATTTCAACTGTTGTTGCTTGATTGCCTTAGACTACTCAGATAACTGAGGTCAACAGGTTTCTTCAGTAAACATTAAATGCATTAGATGTAATTTTTTTAATTGATTCAAATTTTGTATTATACAGCTCATACTAGTATATTCAAAAGTCTTTTGCTGGCTTATCGCCTTTATCTAAATATCATTTAAATTATTACCTCCCTTTTCCTCCCAAAAGGCAATGAATTTGTACCATCTCACACACAGACACACACACACACACACACAAAGGCAAACCAGCAAGCAAGACCCCTTAAGCTGCAAATACCATGTATCTACTTCATTGTGCATTAGGAAACATGGACAGGTACATTTAAATCAAAAAAACTGAAAAGGAAAAAACCCCCACACTCTTTGTTTTGACCCTCCTTTCTTGATTTTTCACTTTCCTAACCCTTTCTACCACACCCAGAAGTATGCTATATTTGTATTGGACCAAATGTATTTACCGGTATCATCTTGCTTATTTAACAATTTTAAATGTATTTATTATAATTGTTTCCTTTAATTTAGTGTTGGATATATTTGTTTTGTTAGAGGAATCTGATAATAATGGGCATACAGTGGGGCCTTGACTTATGAGTTTAATTCATTCCGTAACAGAGCTCGTAACTCAAATTACTTGTGTGTCAAATCAATTTTCACCATTACAATGACACGTGATGCTGGGCTGATGTTGTGGCATTCACTGTGACGTTTGCTGCGCCAGCTAGCGGTGGGATATCTGAAGCTGGCTCGTAACCCGAACTTTAGCTCTCAACTCAAAGCAAAAAATGGGCCGAGAGACAGCTCGTATCTCGAAAAACTCGTTAGTCGGGACACTCGTAAGTCAAGGCCCCACTGTATTTAGATTAATGAAAATTAGAGACTGGGGATCCTCCAAGGTTCAACATTTCTTCTAATTGTTCATGGTTCTAAATTTAGACAGATTAGGAATTAATATTATTATATTTCAACTTGACTCACTAAAAATATTCTGATCTCCTTTATGAATACAGTTAGGAACATAAATTCTTTGTGACAAGTATAGATAGTTCTGACCCATAGACAAATATCTATGATCTATGCTACTTCCTGTTATTTGAAATCCACAGTAAGACACATACACACATATACAATCACAAACAAAAATCTTAACAATTTTGAACTTGAATTGTGAAATGTTTTACAAAACAAAAACATCATAATTTATACCTTTGAGCAAATTGGAGCAACCACATTTATTGCATTTATTAAACATTTTATTTCCATTTTTCAGTCATTGAAACTGACTTTTTAAAATAACATTAGACGCTAATACAATAGGTTTATTAACAAGTGACCAGGACAAATTTTAAGAACTTAATGTTTCATGGCATTATAATCAAACCCTAGTCCTGGAAAATATCTATATAGACCAAGTGATAAACTTTCATTGAGGAAAAATGTGAAGAAGGTATGTTGGCTATTTTTAAGTTTCAGAAAAAGTATTTCCATGTAATAGGATCAAGTATCAATAGTATAGTCTGATCTTCGTGTATTAGTATACATCTCCAAAATAGTTACATTCCTACAGCCCATGAACAAGAGGCTGAAATGGGTGAACTGTCCACTTGGACCCAGTTTAAAAACAATTTTTGGATATTAAGTGGCTGGTCACTTTTTCAGGATTTTCATCCAAACTATGTTTAGACTGACTGTATAAGTCTTGCTGCCTTTTCAGAAATCTGCTTTCCTTTTTGTGCTTTTTCTTGTACTGTATAGCACGGTTCATGCACCTCTCTTTAGATGGTGTACTTTAAAAACAAAAATAAATTTTAGAAAATGGTTTTAACACTGCATAACTAAAATTAGTAGTGTGCAACGTTGACTGCCTTTGATGTGTAGTAGACGAGTGAAAATGAACATGTTCTTGTAGAATGCTGTCAAAATCGTTCAGGAATGAACACGGTTTCATTACTGTAATCATGAACCTTTTTACATGAATGCACTTTCTAGAAGTGCTAAATGTGATGCATTTTCAAAGTTTAAAAAATCCTTCAGATGATATATTTGAGATGTCTAAAATAATGCTGTGCTTGAAACGTTTGTGTAAAAGAAAAAAAGATGTGTGTCACTGTGATGCTGGTCCTCCCTGTGTGGACAGAAGTAGAAAGTAAAAAAACTTTGGCAAGTCACCTTTGTGTACAATTTGAGGCAGTGGTTATATAAAACAAATTGACCTTTATGATGACCTCCCTTCCCCCAAATTCTTGGTGAGACAGTAACCACCACCAAAAAATCAAAATCAAACCCTGTGATTTGTATGAATCACACAGGACATGGGGGAAAGAGGTTGACATGCAGTGAAAATTGGGCTTGTCACTAGATCAGATCAACCTCCATATATATGGTTAGAACAAATCAATTAATGGGACCCTAGTATTTCTGCAAGTTTGATTATCTAAAAAAAATAACTGGAATAGAAGCATTAATTCAGTGCTTAGTTCTAGTGTTAGAAACCCCTTTGATGTAATGCCTTGTATTAACCCTTTGAGCATTGTAAGATATACAATGGGGGACAAAAGCCTTTCAGATCCTTTATTTAGACTTAGACCGGTAAAATATACTCTATATCCAAATGTCTAATTATGCTGGTTTTTTTAAAGGGGAGGGTAGGAAGAGAAAGTGTTTTTACGCCGAACACTTGCATTTTATATACGACTCTTAATTTTCTTCAAGAGGGCTTGATATATTTATTCCCAAATATTCACTGCCATCTAAGTAAGTGTACTGTTTACAAAAAAAAAAAAAATCAACTTTTCTAGTATCACAGCATGACTCTAGAAAAGGACGACCACACATGGGCCCGTGGACCCATGTCAGACCGATTTCTGCACATTGAAAGTACCTAGATTGCCTTTAAAAGGTATGATATAGAAAGGGTTACATTTTCCCCCGAAACAAAACAAAAGATTTCATTTATTTAGCTTTAGAAAGTACAATTGTAAGTGAAGCCTTAGGAAGAAACGAGTTCGAGTAGCTAAAGAAAAGCTGAACTCTTTGGGGGCAGGTAAGCTGTTTGGAGTTAGATCTCTCATAACACATTGTTTGGGAATTTCATACAGGGCATAATTTAATCTATGCTCCAAAACTTTAATACTTTGTCAAAAAAATTATATAGAGATAGAATGGAGAGCAAAAGCACTTGATTCGAGCTCATCTGATGCTATGACTACTGCTTCTGATACCTGGAAATGCCAGTCTGCTCACACAATTGCTGACTCTGTTCACGGGCCCTCTGCGTGCACTGGACTCCTTTGTCCCCTGCCTGATGGAACACGAGAGCAGTGCTGTCCGCAGATGTGCTTGCGCTGCCCTGGCCGGGCACAGATAAAAGCGTAACCTATTCCAATGCCTGGTGAAAGGACATCCATAGCCTAGTGCAAGTTTGCCGTAAACGTTGCTTTTTAGGCAGTTTAGGAGGTCAAACCATGCAAATTACTCATGTGTTAACATGCAATACTCAAAGGGTTTTAATTTAACTCTCTTCTTTTGATTCTTCATGATGATTTACTGTAAATGCTTCTCAGTTTGCATGCTCTGATCATTGCTGCTAGTGATTTTACGTGCCAGTAGACCTGAGTTTAGTTTACCAATTTTACTTAAATAGTAAAAGCCACTTACAAAGTGACTGCCTAGGATTTTTTTTTCTTTTGTTTAAAGTAATTGGTAATATGTCATTTACAAAAAATGTGTTTTGTCTCTTATTGGTTCTGGTATTTGATTCTTTTTTTCCCTCTTTCCTTTGTTTTTTAAATAAATTATGATGTTGGGATTGGAAGCCCTGAGTAATGAAATCTTTGGTAAGAATTGTTTATGTAGCTCAATAATGAGGACAACAAATCTTTGTTAGAAGAATTATGATTCTGGGGAGGAAAGAAAAAATAAAAACCCCCATTGACTGTTGATGACCAAGTAAATTTTTCCTTGAATGAATTAATAGTTTTGAACAAATGATTGCCTTGTTTTAACCTGCTAAACACAATTTTAAATGACCCAATAAAGGAGGTATTGAATTTTATGCATTTAAAAAGCATCTTTTGTACCAAAGCAAATTTTTTCTCTACTCATCTGCATCATCAATTGGGACCTATGGTGGTGACCAATGTGTTGGTTACAGAAACTTCAAGTGAGTGCCTTGAGAAAACTGGGAAATTTGTGCCTGGGGTGGTAAACATTTAATTAGGTTCATTGTAGTGCTTACCAATCAGTAATTCTACTATCACTCAGGGCTTTCGTACCTTCTAGGTAAAACTCCTTTCATTGCGTTTTTTTAAAATACTGTGGTTTTTTTTTTAAGTGCCATCATTTAAATTTCACTTAGTAAGTGGCAGATTTCATTATTCAGTCCCACAAGCACAGAAAACATAGTAACACTAGGAGATATTGAACATTTATTTTACAATCGACTGAATATATTATGTAAATGAGGTAAGCAACTTTTGTAGAGATTGTATGTGTGAGATAATGTAATGTTCTTTTCCAGTTTTTGGACTACAGTTGAATAAACTTTTTAATTATTTAAAAAACATCTTTACCGAATAACATGTGATGGTTTTTTGTATAATGTATTTGATTTTGTAAATACGTATTTCCTGATGTGATTTTTGTGAGAAATGCTAAATCTTTTAGTATATCATGTCCTCTCAAGATTGGCAGGAGCTAAATAATAGTTTGTGGGCGATTTGTATTGTGTACTGTATAATAACTGGGGAACTTTTATAATTATAAAAATATATATTAACTTTTAGTGTGTTGTTTAAACAAATGACTGGAACATACTAAAGATATTAGTAGGATTTTTCTGAATATTTCAGACTTGAACTCAGGCTAGCTTTCTTGTGTTTTTCAAAACAAAATGGTGTCTTGTCTTTTAAAATCAATAAATTTGTTTCCTTGTTACAAATACATTTGAAATGGCTTGATTTCCCCCCCCCTTAACTCAATGCCAGGGAACTTATATTGCACTGCCTCATCTAGAGGGTGGTCTCTGTTGTTCACTAGCTTAGAAATTAAGTTGTTTTCCTTTTTTGTGTCAAATGAAATTGGCAATATTTACACATGAACAGCATAAAAAGAGAAAACAAAATTATAAGCCCAGCAGGGTACTAATCTTACCCTCACAGAAAATTAGTGATTGAGTGCTATTTAATTTCAGAAGCTGTCATCATTTCCATTGTAAATCCAGATTTTTGGATGTTCATAATGTGTTTGTTTTGTGTCACTTCATATTAATATTTGGCACCCAAGTTTCTTGCTTAGGTTGCAACAGCTTATTAAAATTCGTTCTAATGCACTTAATATTATCTGCTCCCACTTTTTCCCTTCTTTGAGTTCTGTAGTTACATACAGGAAAATTTGCTGCTTTTCGTGTACCTTTCTGTGATTTTTGACAAACACACAGTATATAAGGCCTCCTCCTAGGAGTATGGAATAGCCCATTCATATGGGGTTTCTTTAAGTGAGAAAAATTCCAGACAGAAAATATCCTTAAAAGGAATGTAGACAGAATTATAACCAATATCAAGTACAATACTATGCTACAAAGAAAATAAGTAGCCAATTTGGACACTTAGGTTGTAGCCATTGCCACTTG